TGTATGTATGTATGTATGTATGTATGTCCGAACGTCTATCTGTATGTATGTATGTCCGAACGTCTATCTATATGTATGTATGTGTGTGTATATTTATGTGTGGATGGATATATGTAGTGTGTGTGTGTATATTTATGTGTGGATGGATATATGTATGTATGTGTGTATGTGTGTATGCATGTATGCATGTATGCATGTATGTATGTATATATGCATGCATGGTATGTCTGGATGCATGCATGTGTGTCTGTCTGTCTGTATGCATGTTTGTATGTATGTGTGTCTATGTATGTATGTATGCATGCATGCATGCATGTATGTAGTGGGAGTGTTAATAGAAAATTTTATTGAATTAGGATAAGGAAGTGTGCGAGATAAAGCACCGAGGAAAATAGATCCCAACAAACTTGGTAAGGCTGTTTCAATTGAATTATATATATATATATATATAAGTAGAATTACATAAAGTAAGATAATAGAAATTTTATATTTAAATAATATAAAATTAATAGTTAATTAAAATAATATAATTTATTAATTTTGTATATATGTAATAGCATATTTTATAATAATAATAATATTTATATAAGAGATTTAATCAAAATATGAAAATATTTTCTTACTTATTTAAATTAGATGGGACATCAATTAAATATTGAATAAAAAAATATAAATCATAGATGTTGAGTAAGTTATAGTTTTGATAGTCAAATTAAAGTAACTTGAATACTTAAAATAAAAGTTTATAATCAACAATTAAAATAACATAATTAATTAAAATATTGATTAAATTTAATTAATGATCTACTTAATATTTTATTCTTTATTATATTATAGGTAACTAACTATTGGAGACAAGATTAAGCGTGTTTGAAAATTTACGACAAGTCATACGGTTTTGAGGTGAGTACTCATATTCTTATGATATAGTAATATTTTACTTCTTCTCAACCAAATGCACTTAATGTTACAATTATATTTGTAGCATTGCATACTCATGATTTATGGTTTCATTGAATTTTGTTCATGTTGTTAAAGTGAAATGTCTACTCAATATTGTTAAATTATAATAGATATTGATTCATGTATAAGTATATTAACTGCTATACAAATGAGAATGAAAGAATTATTAATAGGTAATGTTTTTTATAGTATGTTTGCATGTGCATGCTAGGCTATAATAGTGTCATATCTTTATGGTACTAGCAGGGAGAATGTTAAGGTACTAATGCACGTAAATTAAAAATGATATTTATATTAAAATACATTAAAATGTACAATTGTTAGAAAGTGTTCATGTGACGGTTATACATCCATAAAATAATATAGATATGCTATTGTTATAGCAAAACATAATGAATAATATGAAATATCATAAGTGATCATATTTATACTGTCAAATAATTTTTATTGATTTATTAAATGCTTAATTGGTATGCATAAGATTGTTTTTTTCTTCGCAATACTATAGTTTAGGAGTGTGAGTATTAACTATTTTTATTAGTCCACTATTATTTTAAAGTAACATTTCATATGTAATTAATTGATTAAAAGATGAGCAATAAAAAATAAAATATTTATAGAAGACGCAAAGAACATGTAATGAGGTAAATATACTTGTATTGCTTTAATTTAATTTCTTTAGTGTTTTTTTCCTTTGTTAAATATTAGTTATAGAAAATGAGTATAGACCAATGGCATGTACCCGCCTTGGTTAATTACAATCACCGAACCGAGTCATGACAGCTTCAATGGGGGCTATAGATGGTATTCTAGGTAATTTATAAGTACGAGCCTATAACTCAACTTCTCACTGGCTCGTTCGACTGAGCTTCTGTGGCTTCAACTTTGCAGGGCTGGTTCGATCGGTTGAGATTAGTCGGCATTGTCTGTCTGATAAACATGATTGGCTTTAGGTCGACAAGACTAGTTCAGTTGGTTGATTTAATTTATCTTTCAACCCTTGATGACAGATCGGAGAGTCATTGAACACCTTTGATATGATTGACGATGTTGGGGGATGACTCTTTCCTCGAGTCAGCTTCTTCTTGTTGATTGGCTTAAACGTATCTTTGTCTCATTTTCGACAAAACGTCTCGAATTCAGATCATTCAATCATTTTTCATGACTTAATCGGCTTTAACCTTGCATGATTTAGCTCGGCGAGCTGCATCCAGCGGATAAGTAGGCCTCCAGGTTTTTTGCAAGTGGACCATTCTTTGTCGTACTCTCCACTTTGTGGACCATTAAATCTCCTCAAAATTAGCATTTGCATATTTTAGATTAACATAAATATTAATATTAATAATTCTATTAGCATAAACTCTCCGTAATTAGAGCCCACAGAGGGCTAAACTGTTGATTGCTTTAAATAGAATTATCTTTTCTGAAAAAGACAAAAACCAATTGCAATGAGGAAACGATGCCACGTCACTGTCTCGATCTCATCGTTTTCAACCCTCCCTCTCATTCGATAATGACACGTCATTTTCCGTTGGATCGCGACACGTCATTTTCCGTTTATTGGATGTAAACCAGTATAGCTTAAGCTTCCCCATATTAACTCCCGCGATACTCCACCATTAATGCACTTAGAAGAATACAAAATTACACTAAAGCCCTGCTCAAAATAGAGTCATTTGCCACAATCGGATCCTGGAGCACCGTATCTTAAGGTCTATATAGGAATTTCACTCTTTCGCCCCTCATTTCCCAGAAGCCGCCTTTCTTTAAACCGCCATTTTTTTTTTCTCCATCAAACGCCGTAAACTCCGTTCGTCTTGTTCAAAAGGATGTAAATCCTCGGCCGTCGCCCATTGTCGTCTCCAACTTCTTCATATCGAGTTCTTTTCGCTTCACCAGCCGGTAATAGGAGAGCCAAGAGCTTGCAGGAGAGGCGGGATCTTATCTAAGAGGGGAGCTGGAGTGCGGCGTTTCTTGGTCACAGCGATCTGGTTTGTTGGTAGTTTTTTTGAAGCGAATCGGAGATGTCTGTTGTTTAATCTATAAACGTCCGCGCTGATCAGATCCCTATGTTTACCTCCGGTGAGATCTTCGTCTTTCTCCTTTCTGCTTTGGTGGGAGCAGGAAGTCTCGGTCAAACGTTAATTTCAAAAGTTGGTAGATAGATCTTGTTAGGGTTTTGTTTGTTTTGATCCTAGATCTTGAAATTCCGTTTGTGTATTGATGGGTTGGTACAATTAGGGCAGATTAGTCCTTGCCGTAGGGTTATTCCTCGGGTCTGGTAGTGGAATTGATCCGAGATCTAGACTGCGGTATTTTCTAGGGTTTGAAATACTCCTAGTTTTTCCTAGCATAGTGGCAAAAAAATGTCTGCAGCTGGCGTTGTAATCAGCTCCATTAGGGAGGATGCAGTTCTTTCCTCGGTCCTTCTGCAGCGCAGCAGGTCCCTGCATTACTTGGATGATTCTATCCTGATCTACCTGGCAGTCCCTGATTCGTCAGTGATCCCTATTAGAGTTCTTGACTCTGATTCAATTGCCTCGGTCAAGCTTAGAATCCAGAGCTGCAAAGGATTTGTTGTCAAGAATCAGAAGCTGGTTTTTGATGGCCGTGAGCTAGCCCGGAATGATTGTCTGGTTCGAGATTACGGTGTGACGGACGGGAATGTCCTCCATCTTGTTATTAGGCTTTCTGATCTCCGTTTCATCACTGTAAATACTGCTTGCGGGAAGAAATTCAAGTTCAAAGTGGATCGGAGCCGAAATGTTGCTTACATCAAGGAACAAATTGCAAAGAAAGGTACAGATTTTGGGGATGTTGAAGCTCAAAAGCTTATCTGTGATGGGGAGGAGCTCGAGGATCACCAGTTGGTCAATGAAATCTGCAAGAACAATGATGCTGTCATCCACTTACTGATACGCAGGTCAGCCAAGGTTAGGGCTAAGCCTATTGGCAAAGATTTTGAGTTATCCATTGAAGCCCCATGCTTAGAGGAGAAGGAAGATGCCACAGTGAAACTTGTTGTTAAAAAACCACCAGACAGGCATGCTTTGATTGAGCCAGTTATCATCAATCGAAAAATTGAACTTTCATCAGAACTTCGGAAACTGATTACTTCAACACATGCTGGTTTGGAAAAGGGAAACAAACCAGTCATGTCTTCAGAAGGTTCAGGAGGAGCTTACTTCATGCTTGATGCAACTGGTCACGACTATGTGGCTGTCTTCAAGCCAATTGATGAGGAACCAATGGCTAAAAACAATCCACGTGGACTCCCCGTGTCATTGGATGGTGAAGGATTGAAGAGAGGCACTCGTGTTGGAGAGGGTGCACTGAGGGAAGTCGCGGCTTACATTCTCGATCATCCAATCGGTGGTCCTCGTGGTTTCCTCTCGAATGAAGTTGGCTTTTCTGGGGTTCCGCCTACCACCATTGTTCAATGCTTACATGATGGTCATGGAGAGAAGGATTTCAAGATTGGTTCCTTGCAGAAGTTTGTGAAGAACCATGGTAGCTGTGAGGATATAGGTCCTCAGGCTTTTCCGGTTGAGGAGGTGCACAAGATAGCTGTTCTGGATTTAAGGCTTGCTAATGCGGATCGTCATGCAGGGAATATATTGTTCAGTAGGGAGGGTGAAGAGGGCCGAGCTGTGCTGATTCCTATTGATCATGGATACTGCTTGCCTGAGAATGTGAGTATATTTACTTTAAGAAGCTACTTATGTTCTACCATATGAGATTTAACTTTACGCTATTTTAAGTTCCTCTGTTCTATGTGATACATTGGTGAAACTAGGGGGTAGTTGGGAGAGACACTCATCACCTCTAGATTTTTATGGAACTTATTAAAATCATATGATATGAGTGAAGTGCCGGAATAATCCCTGACTATTTACATGAGGTCATTTTAGTCCCAGAGTTAATAGAAATGTAAAATGGTCCATAAACTCTTTAAATTGGGTTGAAGTAGTCTCTATGGAGGACTATTAGAGTACAATTTTAAAATAGTCCCCGACTATTTTGACACTCTATAAACTCTTGGACTAAAACGGCCCCATGGAAATATTCAAGGATTATTTTGTCACTTTACTCTATATATTAGATTACAAATTTTGCCCTCTTAGTTTAAATATTCAATAATAATAATATTTTAACATGAATTATATTTTTGAATGGATAATTATATGTATAATAATATTAAAATTTGTAGGAAAAATTATAAACTTTAAATACTTGCCACCTTTTCTATTTTGATTTCACCATTCCTCTTATTAAGTTTTGGTTCCACCACCGATTTGGTAGCATTGTTGTGCTTATCATATACAACAACAATAAGCCTTTATCCCACTAATTGTGGTCGCCTACATGAATCATTTTTCTTCATTGTGTTCTATTGAGTGTTATATTTTCATCTAACTCTAATAAATTAAGATCATTTTTTATACAATGTGCCAAGTCTTTTTAATTATACCTCTGTCTTTCTTAACGTAAGTCGAATCTAAAACATCTACTCTACTAACTGGATCATCAGATGGTCGACGTTTAATGTGACTAAACCATATAAGACGACTCTCTCTAATCTTGTCTGCCATTAGAGCTACAACAACCTTACACGAATACATTTGTTTTTCATTGTCTCTAAATGTCAAGCCACTCGCCCATCTAAGCATTCCTATCTCAGCAACACTTAACTTAGTTTTATACTTCTCTTTTAAAAGTCAACATTCTGTGTCATAATGCATTGCAGGTCTCACCACCGTCTTATAAAATTTTCCTTATATCTAAGTGGTACTTTTCTATCGCTCAATAGACTCGATGCATTCCTTACTTCAACCAACCAACTGAAATTCTACTAATACCGTCCTCATCAATATCACCATCACTTTGAACAATAGACCCAAGATATCTAAAACATTGACACCTTTAAAAATTTGATCACCCATAGTTACAACTCTGTTACTAGTTCTACTACTACTAAAATTACATTTCATGTATTCAGTTTTAAATCGACTCAAACGAAGATGTTTAGACTCCAATGTAGACCTCCTTAATTAAAGTTTTCCATGCACTCTTTCTCTAATTTTATCCACAAGAAGGATATCACCCGAGAAAAGCATACATCAAGTACATCCTCCTGTAAATATTCAGTAAGAGCATTTGATGAACATATTCTTGAGTTCATTTACTTATGGTTTCCCCAAATCTTTTTATGTATGCAGGGAAATTATCCATGTTATGCTTATCAATTTATTTATTTTGCCTCTTCATGGATCTCACCGTCCTTTTTTTTCCCTTCTTAAGTCTAAAGCGTTAGGCACTTTTATTGTGATGTTCTAATTATTACATTATTTAATTTGCTAGTAGTTTTTTTAATTTTTAAAATCTTGCATTGTTGATTTTCCTTTTTGTTGGTGACTTGTCTAATATTTAGTATTAGCTTGTGAGAAGTTTGGGTATTCAAAATATGAACCGAAAACTATGGCTGATGATAAATTTTTTTTAAGGAGCATGATAGAATTGCTTCTGGATCATAACATTTCAACGTATACATTACTTCCTTGTTTGACGTGTGAGACTATCGCTGTGAGGCACAAATCACTTTGTGAATTGGAACCGTTTTTATTTATACCTCTTACTAAACTCGCAATTTATGATTCACGGCTTTATTTGTCTGGACCAGAACAGTTTATGGCTGCTTATATTTATGGAAAGCCAAGTTAAGATCATGAACCTAAAGCTATTTTTGGCTACAATTAACCTCATCTACCTGAACGTTGAAACAATACAGTTCCCTGAATAAACCTTCTCATGCAAAATCTTCATCTTGGTTTACCATTTGATTTTGCTTTTGAATGTTGGGCTTGACTCAACATCTTATTTTTCTATATCTACTCATAATCTTAACCACCTCCGTACGTTGTTGCAGTTTGAGGATTGTACCTTTGAGTGGCTGTACTGGCCACAGGCTCGCCAGCCTCTCGACTCCAGAACCCTAGACTACATCAAATCGCTCGACGCCGAGCAGGATCTTGCTCTCATCAAGTTCCACGGCTGGGAGCCTTCGCTGGAATGCTCCCGCACTCTCCGCATCTCCACCATGCTTCTGCAGAAAGGAGCAGGAAGGGGACTCACTCTTTATGACATAGGTAGCATCCTCTGTAGAGAAACAGTCAAGAAGGAATCCAAGATTGAGGAGATGATCCGCGAAGCGAAAGATGCTGTTCTTCCAGGTACCAGTGAAGCTGCTTTCATGGAAACTATTTCTGAAATTATGGATCTTTATCTCGACTGTCTGACCAAGTAGAATTGTTCATGCTATAGATACAGTTTATCACTCTCTGTCATAAATAAATTTGGTCTTCAGAAAATGTGTGTGTGTGAATGTTAGATGGTGTACTGAAATTCAAAAGTTTATGGGGGGCATTTCTGCAGTTTATGTAGTATTTGTCCTTGGTAGATATTTGACTTTCTGTTCATATTTTATACTTAATGCTCGTTTCGGATATTAAAATAATTGATTCCTTTGTTCATAATGTATTTGTTATTGTGTTTGCAGTGGGCTGACTGTTATTTATTTATTTATTTATTTATTTATTTATTTATTTATTTATTTATTTATTTATTTATTTATTTATTTATTTATTTATTTATTTATTTATTTATTTATTTTGTTTTGGGAAGACCTAATCTAAGCTCCAGAGGCTGCAAGTAAAATTCAGGGTTGCATTTTGTCAGATGCGACTCTGGGCTATTTGTAGCCATTCGATTCGTCAGCGAGGTTTTCAGAATGATTTCATTTATAAATTTTGTTTATTTTATTGTTCATGTCTATATTAAATAGGTTCAATAACTATCAGTCTCCGAATTCAAACGATCAAATCGACGACACATTTCTACAAGAAGAAATAGGATTTAGTGGTTTTGAACATTAAGTCGGCGTGATGGTGCATTTTACTAGCGTAATATATGATTTTTATTTGAGGTCTTCTTGTCAATGTCACGTAATTCTTATTTCCTTACATGTCTAACATCTAAATTTTCATATTTATATATAAACTATTCAAAATTTTGGCATTATGTGAAAAATATTATGGTTATCATTAACTTTTGACATTATATGAAAATTATTTTTGATGAATAAGTTTTAACAACCAAGTGATGTAAATATAAATATTAAATTTTAAATGTAGATATTTCAATGCATAAAATTGTGTGGTGCATATAAATTTCTCTTCTCATTTAGCGAAATGAATTATATGATAGTGGGGTAAAGTTTTTTAGCCATGGATATGGTTTATTGACTCCAACGTATTAGACACCCAGAACATATAAAGTACCGCCAAAACTGAATTTAAGCAAAAGTTAATTGGAAAGCGACCATAAAATGCGTTCACGTGTTAACCATTTTTCAGGCCATTTGCAATATATATATATATATATGCATGTATATGTATATATGTGTGTGTGTGTCTATCAGAAATGTGTTGGGACGAATTTTGAGGAAATCCAACGTCTTAGAGATGAAAGTGAGGCCAGGGATGGCCTACACAAGGAAGACCAAAAGTCATATCACCGAAAGATCGAGAGGAATTGATTGATTAGTACATGTTCCTTTGATTAGGACTCCAAGCATATTGGATGCAAGCCATCGAGCAATGATCAAGATCTATCAGGCCAAGAGAAGACATCAACCCAACTCTCGCCTCAACATTGCTAGTCGCCTCACAAAAGTATATGAGATCCTACATCATGAGGTTGAAAGGTTTTACAATGATATACTCCACGAACGCCTCAAAATATATTTTATGAAGGGGGTGTGCTACCCCTCAGATTACGGTAATTCACAATTTACTCGACATTCTAGTCTCATCATGGTGATAGAAGATCCTCTTCTAGGGGACGATATTCAACGGCTAGACAAAAGCAATCGATTGGTGCTCAAGCCAACCTAGCTAAGTCCAGACAACCAAAGATTAATAGAAGTCGATCGAGAATCCCAACTCGAACATAGTTAGAAGCACAAATCTTGTCAAACCAAGGCTCACTAATCTTTGTTGGTCGAGAGACTCATTTATTTAAATATCCAAAATACTATGTAACACGTAATCATGTAATTATACATACAATAACCCCTTTGCATGTAAATAGGGGATCTTTTCATTAGTAAAATGTTACACACTCTTCTCTCTATTACTATGCACTCTCATGTAAATAGGTGATTCCCGAACAGATCCAGATTCAACATCATAATAGATGTGATGATTGTGGATCATACCAACAATAGAAAAGGAACAATCAAGGAGAAGAAACCCACCTAAGAGACACTACAATCATGGAGTGCACGATGAAGTTTGTGCACAACAAATACAAGAGGTGAAGGACCAGATGATTGGTCGAATGATCTATGCCATTCGATCTGAGGTAGAGAAGAAAACCCTCAGGAGGAAGCTACGACACACAACAACCGAAGGATAACTCAATCCCATAAATACAAGGAGACTCTCAGTACCAGGATAGTTTTGAGTCGGCACCACTAGATAGACAGTGGTTCAGGAGCACTGAGCTCCCCTAGAATGTGCTCTTGGTAGATTTGTGAAGTTGAACTCCTATGGAAATTCAATATACCATCACTCTAGTCTTATAAGGGTCAGATTGATCTAGCTGACCACTTAGCATCATTTGAATCAGCCATTTGTTTGTTGAGGATCATTGACACTCCGAAGTGTCGCCTCTTTTTCACCATGCTAAAGGAAGGTGTTTTAATGGACTACCAACTGGAGTGATCTCCTCCTTCACCAACTTCAAGAGAATGTTTGTGGTGTGGTTTGCCAGCACCCGAAAACCTCAAAAGAGTTCACGGGCCATCAAATTAGGCAAGGACAACATGACAGCCTTCATATGTATGTCACAATATTCCAGAAGGAGATATTGAAAGTGCAGAATCTAGAACCCATAGCAGTACATGTCATCCTAGCTCAAAGGTTGAAAAAGAGACCCTTCTACTATGCTTGGGGTCTCAAGCAACCAAAAATCCTAGCTAAAATGTTGGAGCTAGCCATCAATCTTATTTCAGTAGAAGAATGCAACTCTACCCGTGCCTCCACCACAGTAGAGTCAGCCGCTCATCGTCTGCAGAAGCGCTGTAGACGGAGACTGAAAGAATATTTGGACTCAAAACATTGGGATTACTTACCAACACCTTATAAATATAATATTTTCTAAATAAAAGGGTAACAATATTGAAGTATATTTGGATGATATGTTAGTTAAAAGTCAATCAGCCAAACAACATATAAATGACTTAAAATAAACACATTCAGCCCTTAGAAAATAAACAAGAGTTTAAATCCACTAAAGTACTGAGTTGATGACCTCAAGAGAAACTTTCTATATACTAAACCACCCGAGTCCTATCCTCAGAGGCCCGAACTGAGGAACCTAATTATAGAAAACATAACATTTGTTCTTATTATTTAAGCTCACAAACAGTGGATCTTACTTCCAGAAGCATCTTATCCGGGTCATTACCAATCACCTAAGGAAATTCTTTCTAACTCGGCCAGAGCATCCCGGTCGGCTCCACAAATAGATGATGGAGCTAAGTGAGTTCAACATCTCCTACATCCCCCCGAACCATAATAAGGACCCAGGCAGTTGTGGACATCATAGCAAATTTTTTTTCTGAACCAAATAAAACGGGTGAAGTAAGTACTACCGACGAACATACTTGGGTCTTACACACTCATGGTGCTTCCAATCATACCAGAGAGTATCTCTACCACTCACTCATAATAGAATTTGAAGTCACAAATAACCAGGTAGAGTATGAGGACCTAATTTTTTGCTTTCATCTAGATTAAAAAATGGGTGACCAACATCTCCATGCAAAGTGAGATTCACGGATGGTGAGGTGAATCAGGTGAAAAAAGAGTTTGAGGCCAGAGAACGAGTTAACCCGACGATTTAGTTGAAGAAAACTCCACGACTTGGAGAGTGATATATGCATGTATATGTATATATGTGTGTGTGTGTCTATCAGAAATGTGTTGGGACGAATTTTGAGGAAATCCAACGTCTTAGAGATGAAAGTGAGGCCAGGGATGGCCTACACAAGGAAGACCAAAAGTCATATCACCGAAAGATCGAGAGGAATTGATTGATTAGTACATGTTCCTTTGATTAGGACTCCAAGCATATTGGATGCAAGCCATCGAGCAATGATCAAGATCTATCAGGCCAAGAGAAGACATCAACCCAACTCTCGCCTCAACATTGCTAGTCGCCTCACAAAAGTATATGAGATCCTACATCATGAGGTTGAAAGGTTTTACAATGATATACTCCACGAACAACCTCAAAATATATTTTATGAAGGGGGTGTGCTACCCCTCAGATTACAGTAATTCACAATTTACTCGACATTCTAGTCTCATCATGGTGATAGAAGATCCTCTTCTAGGGGTCGATATTCAACGGCTAGACAAAAGCAATCGATTGGTGCTCAAGCCAACCTAGCTAAGTCCAGACGACCAAAGATTGGTAATAGAAGTCGAAAAAGGATCCCAACTCAGCATAGTCAGACGCACAAGTCTTGTCAAACCAAGGCTCACTAATCTTTGTTGGTCGAGAGACTCATTTATTTAAATATCCAAAATACTATGTAACACGTAATCATGTAATTATACATACAATAACCCCTTTGCATGTAAATAGGGGATCTTTTCATTAGTAAAATGTTACACACTCTTCTCTCTATTACTATGCACTCTCATGTAAATAGGTGATTCCCGAACAGATCCAGATTCAACATCATAATAGATGTGATGATTGTGGATCATACCAACAATAGAAAAGGAACAATCAAGGAGAAGAAACCCACCTAAGAGACACTACAATCATGGAGTGCACGATGAAGTTTGTGCACAACAAATACAAGAGGTGAAGGACCAGATGATTGGTCGAATGATCTATGCCATTCGATCCGAGGTAGAGAAGAAAACCCTCAGGAGGAAGCTACGACACACAACAACCGAAGGATAACTCAATCCCATAAATACAAGGAGACTCTCAGTACCAGGATAGTTTTGAGTCGGCACCACTAGATAGACAGTGGTTCAGGAGCACTGAGCTCCCCTAGAATGTGCTCTTGGTAGATTTGTGAAGTTGAACTCCTATGGAAATTCAATATACCATCACTCTAGTCTTATAAGGGTCAGATTGATCTAGCTGACCACTTAGCATCATTTGAATCAGCCATTTGTTTGTTGAGGATCATTGACACTCCGAAGTGTCGCCTCTTTTTCACCATGCTAAAGGAAGGTGTTTTAATGGACTACCAACTGGAGTGATCTCCTCCTTCACCAACTTCAAGAGAATGTTTGTGGTGTGGTTTGCCAGCACCCGAAAACCTCAAAAGAGTTCACGGGCCATCAAATTAGGCAAGGACAACATGACAGCCTTCATATGTTTGTCACAATATTCCAGAAGGAGATATTGAAAGTGTAGAATCTAGAACCCATA